GTTTCTTTTTTGCTCTCAAGAACTCTAACCAGTTGGTGAGGCTGTCTTCTAGCCCATAGGCCACTTGGTGCATGAGAACTGTGTCTGTGGGCATGCTACAGGCCCTGACACTATTCTTTGCCAGGAGAAGCTCTAATTTGAAATCTCCCACTCTATTAGATCTTGGAACAAAAGTTTATATGATCTGCTCATGGCTATACTAGTAGCCCAGGTAAAAAAAGGTCAGCAAGTTTAAAAATAGGAAACTCAGACCTTTCTATTCTGCCCACTAGATATTTTTTTTTCCCATTAGATATTTTCATATAGAAATACCTTAGGCAAATCAAATCAACTAACCCCAAAACCATTATTTCTCCCTTTTGAACCTACTCTTCTTGTTTTAATTCTTATCTGGCACCCAAACCAGAATCTAAAAGTCATCTAATCTTCACACTTTATTTCCATATCAACCTATCAACTCAGTTCCCTAAAAATTTCTGGAATTTGTCCTCCTGACAACTACCATCCTTTTTCTTCATTTATTTATTCAACAAATATGTATTAGACCAAGTACTAGGTGTTGGGGATACAATGGAGAGCAAGAGAGATATGGTCCCTGCCCTCATGGAAATCACAGTCTAGTGGGGAACAGACACCACCATAATAATCAAATAAATAAATGCATAGTGGCAAACTGAGGTAAAGGCTATGAAAGAAAAGTACAGGAAGTTAGGAGAGCTCTAAAATGAAAGCCTAGTCTCATTTGAGGGTCAAAGAAGGCTTTCTTCTGGTCCATATCTTAATAGCTATGCCTGTCTGAATCTTACTTCCATCCCACTCTTTAATCCCTAATCCACTCACTCTACTGTAGAGAGTGGTATTATAGATGCTCCATATAGAGTCTGTAATAATATATCCATGTTCTAGTTAATTAACATCTGTTGCTCCAACCAGACTATAAACTAATGAGGACAGAGATTGTGTCTATTTTGCTTCTTGATTGGACCCTACTACCTAGCACACTGTTTAGCTCATAATTGATTCTCAATAAATATTTATTGAGTGAATAAGTGAATTTAAGAGTTTTCTAACACATAACTCTGATTGTACATATAAGAACTATCAAATCATGCTCCATCCTTTAAAAAAAAATTCTGCGTTGGCCTGCTCACAATAAACTAATAATAAGTTGATTTATTAGTGTTTTGTAGGTAGTTTGGTATGTCAAATGTTTTAGTAAACTTAGAAGAACAAGTAACTCTTGCCGAGTTTGCACTACTTAGATTGGTAAGAAAATGGTAAACTAAGGCAAGAGTTAACCCTAAAATCTCTTAGGCAGTGAGACCCCTACTGTGGAATTATATATACATACATGTTCTATAGAGAGACAAACAAATTTATCTAATATATACAGAATACTAATTATCTTCCATAATAGACAATTTACATATGTATACTAAGAAAATAATTTATGTAAAATGGATATATTAATGTTGACAGAATAGCTTTCTAAGTTTTAAAGCTTATGACAAAATATTTATTCTTTGATTTAATTATATTTCTATATTCTAAAATGTTGTGGTCCACATTAGAAGACAAGCAGCCAGAGACCCTATATATTGTATCTAATCTATCCCCAAATTCTCATCTCACCTCAGCATCAAAAGACATCTCAACTAAAGTTGAATCAGCCACCAACTGGATATCAAACACAGGACAAGATTTTGGAATCTGAGGTTTGCTAATTAAAATTACCAAGAGATTAAATAGTGTTCCCCTGAAAAATAAATAAAAGGAAAGTAATCAGTAAAGTCTGAAAAGAGAAAGAGCAAAGCTAAGTTTGAATATAATTATACTTAAAAGTAAAAAGCATTGCAGACCATTCCTGACTGAACTTTTGGATCTTTGGACATGCAGACAAATGTCTAGTGATAAGACATTTAAATGAAAATATAATTTCTTGATCTTTTAGCTGAGAAAAAGTATACAGTTCTAGAAGTTCACATAGCTTATGAAGCTTAGAAAACCTGGATTTAAAGAAAATTTGGGTGATTTCAATTATAATAATATTTTCCAAAGGGCTTTTTATGAATAACTAATTCCAAGCAATATTATAGTCAAAATAGATTCTGTTTTCAAAGGAGGAATAAGAAATACTTATTTAACCGAGTTCACTGGATGTCTTTACTATAGGACTTCTCAAAGCTGAATATGCTAATGTGCACTGTATACCTCTAGGACAAAGAAACAGTATGAAGCATTTCTTAAAATGCTTATCCAATCACAAGTTTTTTGACTTTACAACCCTTTTTTTTTTTTTAACAAAGCATTTCAGAGGTTTACTATTCTACTGAAAGCCACTAGCTATTAAGTAATAAAACTAGTATTAAACTTCAGGTCTTTTGCTTTCAAATGCAGTGTACTGTCCACTAATGTACACTAGTAACTCACTTAAATGTTACAACAGGTTTGAATAATATACTGTATTATTTGAAAATAAAAAAGGAAAAAAATCATAATTCAAACTGAGCATCCTGAGGAGCTGGGAGAGTATACACCATCTTCATATGTGTAGTACAACCTATGTATGGCTGAAAAGGAGCTAAAGGCAAACCACTAGAAATATAGGTGCCTTACCGAAGGTAGTATCAGAGTAGCATTCACAGGTAGCAGTAGTAAAAGAATTTACAGATAGGACTGTATTAAAATTCTCTATAACCATAAACATTACTTTCATAATGGAATAAAGGAGACTATAAGCAATCCTTGTTTAGTAACATTTGAGGCTTCCTATCTTTTCACAATCATTTAAATCATTACCATGATTAGTTCATGATTAACCAACATTCTAATAAAAATACAATTCCCCTTCTTTATCCAACTCAAAAAGCAAATCTACTTCTCATATCTGCAAAAGAAGAATCATGTCAGTTAGCACACCTTTCAAAAAAATAAAAGATATGCCCTATAGGATATTTGCTAATGTTTTATTCAGGCTATTTTAAAATGGCCAGTCTTTTAGAAGACCCTTCCAAAATCAACAAAACAGTTCCATTTAGAAACTTTTCCCAATATTAAGTTTGAATTGACATTCCATTCACTGTTATATTTAATTATAGTGCTTTATTTTCAGCAACTGCTTTTCGAAATATATATCTAAGGATAAGGGAAGGAACTCTCAAATTCTGGGTCACTTGCTGTGATAATATATGAATTCAATCATAATAATACTGAAATATGAAAGGATTATGGCACATTTCAAGAAGAATACAATGAAGCGGGTTAAACTAATCTCTACTTATGAAGAAAATAAAGAGGACAATACAGAAATAAATAAATGCTTTTTATTTGCTCAAATAGAATTTAATTTGTAATCTACCCCTTCTGCCAACTCAATTTAAAATCCACAAGGCCTATAATAGGAAAAGTTTTAATCTAAATGGTAGTTTCATTCTGAAAATAAAGACTTGACATCACAGCCTTAAAAAAATGGTGCCAACAGTTTGATACTTTCATTGTTTAAATGGTTATTATTTTCAATGTATTATATTTTAAAATACAGACTTTGAAAGGCAAATTCATAGTCTCATAAATCAATCTATATTGTTATGATAGGTAGAATTCTAATGTGGCTTTCAAGATTTCTGCCCCCTGGTATATACACCCTATATAATCCCTTCCCCTTAAATTTGGGCAGGACTTGTAAATATGTTAGGGTATCACTCTTAGGGTTATGTTATGTTAGATGAGAAAGATGAAGGGATTTTGCATATTTAATTAAGGTTCCCAATTAGTTGACTTTTGAGTTAATCAAAGGGAGATTATCCTGGGTGTGACTGATCTAATCAGGTGAGCCCTTTAAAAGACAACTTAGGAACAAATGAACAGGACAAATAGAGACTCATGGACATGGACAATAGACTAGTGGTTACCAGATAGTAGTGGGGAGGAGCGGGGGGAAGGTAGACAGGGTAAAGGGGGTCAAATATGCAGTGACAGAAAGAAATCTAATTATGGGAGGTGAACATACAATGTAAATTTTATATATATATATATTTATATATACCTTACTGTTACAGTGTACAGCTAAACTTACTGGATTTCATTAACCAATGTCACCATAAAATAAATTAATTAAAAACTAATAATAAAAAAAAATTAAAGAGAGCTTAGGCCTTCTCTGAGCTCAGAGATATTCTCTTGCCAAGAAGAAAGTCATCATGAGTTTAAAGGTGGAAAGAAATTTATTCTGCCAACAATCACCCAAATGACCTTGGAAGAGGACCCCAAGCCTCAGATGATAGAAATAATCTTAAATCTCTATCTTGGAGATTGGGGAAATGGCAGTACTACCAACTGCATAAAGAAGTATGCAGAGAAACATACTGTATTTTCCTTGTTTGCAAAAACCAGGGGTCAAAAAACTATGGCCTCCAGGCCAAATAGCCTATAGTCTATTTTTGTAAATAAAGCTTTATTGGAACACAGCTGTGTCCCTTCATTTATGTATTGTCTATGGCTACTTTTGTGCTGCAATGACAGACTTGTGTAGTTGCAACAGAAACTATATGGCCTGAAATGTTTACTCTATAACCCTTTACAAAAATGTTTAACCACTCCTGCTATAAAGCATAGTATGACCATAGTCCCTGGCACATAGTAAGTTGCTTAAGAAATGTTAATGAATATTATCATTAAAATTTATTTGTAAAGGTCTATAATCAATAGCCTGGACAAATATTACTAAAAGTTCTTATTCTTCCCCTAGTTCAAATATTTTAGAGCCCATGGCCCTCATCTTTCTTCTACCTTCTAATATAGGAAACTTAGATAAACAGTTGATGAGGATAGAAAAAAAAAATGAGATTTCAGCCAGAACGTTGCCCAAAGATGTAATTCATAGTCTATAATAATCATATAAAAAGGTCAAGCCGATAACATGCAAAACATGCAAACAACATACCTCTGTGGCAAAGAATGTTATTGTCCCCCTATTATATATGCATGCATTCTTCCTTTTAATTACAGATGTCCCCATCACCACCCAAAGTTTAGTTTGGTACATAACCATGCAACTACAGACACATTTTCTAGCCTCTCTTGCAGCTAGTTATGGCCACATGCCTAAAGTTCTCATTGATAGAACATGAGCAAAAGTTCTATATACCTTGCTTAAAAAGGAAATTTTCTTGCCCTCTACTTCTCTTACTGCTTCCCACAGGGTGTAATGAAATCACACCAGCTTTAACCATGAGAACCAAGATAGTATAATAGAAGAAGGCAGAGCAACAAAAGGGAAGGGACCTAGGTCTCTGGCTGATCTTGTGGAGGAAAGGTTGACTGCCTTCTCTGGACTGTGAGAAAGATGTGAGAAAGATGTAAATCTCTGTCTTCTTTGGGGCATGTATTTTAGAGTATTTTTATTACAGTAACTTACCCTATAGGTTAATAAACCTTCTAACTTCATTCACTCCAAGGTCACTTATTTATATATTAAATGAAGCTACCGTAACTTCTGCCTTTGCAAGGTAATTTTTCAGTCGTGTGGATATAAGGGTACTTTGGAAAATTCTAATAGGGACCCCTGGCTTTTAACGTACAATGGGTCATTTCTCAAGTTTACTAGACAATGATAAAAGATAAAATTATGCTACAAAAATCTTTGTGCCCTTAATAATCCAGAGAGACAGAACTCAGTTATGTACCAATTAATCTGTTTATCACAGAAGGAATTGGAGGGAAAATGAGTTTAATGTACTTGGAAGGCAACTGAACAGAGAAGTTAGAGAGCTATGAGTTTTGGAAGATAATCAACATAATTAGTGGGTGGCAACTACAAAGTCCCAGTATTTTCTAAGAGAACTTACTTCTTAGCTGCCAATGTGTTCAGACGTGATGATTCAGTTTCTGTTTCTCTGAACATCAGTCCTAGAGTCTGTATGATTTCAATGCACACCCTAGAAAACAGAGAAAAAAGCATGGAAATGGCATGATTTCAATACAAGTTCAGAATTCCACAAAGTCAGTAATTCTTGATAGAACTACACTCAGGTATCCATGTAAAAAAAAAAGTACAGGAAGGAAATTCTGTATATCAAATTGCCAACATTGATTGAGTGCCTACTCTGTGATTGCTACATAGTGAGTATTCAAAAATATTCATTGAACGAATGAATTAATAGCTGGATATCAGGATTAAAAGTCATTTTCATATTTTTTGTACTTATATTTTCCCAAGGTTTTTATTATAATCATGCCCTACTTTATTTTTAATAATTTTAACTTTTTCAAATAGGTAATATTTGGCACAAATTTCAAAATTAAAAAAGGAAATACAATAAAAATGCCTTTCCTCAGATACCCATTTTTTTCCCCTTTAGGACAGCTAATATTACTAGTTTCCTGTGTAGTTTTTTTTAAAAAAAAATTAGAACAAAACGAATGCTATTTTAAAAAAATCCATGTGAAGCAAAATTTGCAGCATCATTAATCATTAAAACAGTATTTATTTCATCTAGTGCCTTCCATTTATCTTTAATACCCCAGGGGGGCAAAATGTCTACGATTATCCAGTTAGTACTTACACCAGCTCATCAGCTCTTTGGCTTTTATTTTGAAGTGCATTTTTATCCCTAGACTCTGGCAAGTACTCATGAAGTTTGTTCACTAGGAAATAGAAAAGGTCACTGGTCTGTGAAAGCAAGCAGGAAAGAAGACGAAATTAAGGTATCTGTTGGTGAAACTTTATGCTTACATAATAAAAATAAGAAGAAATGATTTGTTCTTTGACCAAGAAGTGATTTACAATATCTCTCATTATTACTAGCATAACCCAAAGTGAAAACATACTTTTTCTTGTAATCAGGAGACAATGGTCCTGGTGAACAGAGCAAGAGCTAAAGTCTAGAGGGCGATGCTGGTAATGCCTTCTAGATTCAACTGGACTGTTAATATTTAAGATCATCCAGAAGTAGGTATATAATCTCAGGCAAGTCATTTGGTCACCTTGGAATAACATATTAAATGGGGGCTACTATAATTCCTGCCTTGCCAAAGTAACTTGGCCTTTGTGAAGATACAATGAAATCTTAATTAGATAAGCTCTCGTTTTAATATGTTTACTATTATGAAAACATGTAGAGCACTACTATAGTCTTTAAAGATGGTGCAGAATGATAGTAATACTTCTGAGTATTAATACTTCTGTAATGATGTTAATACAATGGAAATGTAGATTGCCATTTTTGCCAAAATAAACACTGACTTAAGAGTGGGGGAACCAATTTTTTGCGTTCCTATCCAGTTTCATGAGATAAATCAAGCATGAAAATAAGCACTGGCCCATAAAATCAGGCTAGTTGGTACTAATGAGAAATATGTAATTGCTTCTCTTTTCTTTTCCTCTTTTGTTCATTTTCCCCCCAGGACTTCTTTTTTTATTAGTGGCAACTTAGATTCTTTGTTTTGACAGGGATATATGTGCCCTTATTTAGATGATATGGCATGAGAAGAGGCTGAGGATGGCAGGTAAAGAGAAGGAAAAGAGGAAAAGGAGTAGGATGTACACCAGGCCCTCTCAGAAGTGCTTGTGCTTACACGAATAAATTAGCATAGTGTGGTGGTTTTACACACTGACTCTGGAGTCAAGGTTATTGAGTTCAAATCCCAGCTCTGACACTGGTTAGCTAGCTGTATGACATCTGGCAAATTATACACTCTGTAACTCAGTTTCTTCTTCTCTACAATGGGCTTAATAAGATAGTATTTGTAAAGCTTAAATAGTGCTTACTTAGCACATTATAAGTGCTAATAAATATCAGTTATTATTATTATGATCTCCCACCTGATCACTGGTTCAGGAATTTTAACTCATAAAATATCTTCTACCTACCTGAAACAACATGAAAGAGTCTCAAAAATGTTAATGCAAAAGAAGCCATACATAGGAATACACAGTATAAAATTCCATGTAAGTGGAATCCTAGGACAGGCAAAACTAATCTATAGTGACAGAAAGCACAGTAGTTGCCAGGCATGGGCAGAAACTGACTGCTAAAGGGCACAAGGTAACCTTTTGAGGTGATAGAAATGTGCTAAATCTTGGGTGGGGTGATCAACTGAGACAGTTGGTCATCTTGCATGTGAAGCACTTATAATCTAGGAAATGGCCAGGGCTGTCTTGTATGGTTAGGGAGACAGCACTTCACAACTGCTCAATAAAATGGTGGCAACTATGTATGACACCACTGGCCAGAATTAGCCTCATTAACACCAGCATCAGTACTAACCTGGGCTTCTCAATACCTTCACATGAAACCGAAAATCAAACTACAGAAGTCTTATAGGGTAAGTCTATAATTTGCTGAGTGAGAGCTAGGTTGTTTTGACTCCCCAGGAGTCATCATTTTAGAAATAACAGTGCTACACAGAAAAGTAATTTTTTTAAAGTATATTTTTATTGTAGGGGAACCTGCATGTAAAACTTCAAATCTCCTTTCTCATCTGTCTGTACTTAACACATCTTGCATACTAGAATCTTCCCTTCTTAATTACCTCTTTTCTTTGACTCTGCAAACCCAACCCATGTAAACTACTGTCTTTTTGCTACCACTTTCCTCTCTTCCCACCGACCCCACCACGCCAACACACACAGATACACTATCGATTACATCACATTTCAAGTGTTAAGACATGATTGTGTTAAATTTAATCAACATTGTAAGATAGAGCATCAAAATATAAGATGACATTTATTTATACAGCATTTTACTTTATGCTTGAATATGCTGCATTCAGTAAACAGGTGAAACAAGTTTTAAAGATTAAATATAAGACAAAACACCTACTTTCCAGAAAAGCCTTTTCAGAATGAAGTTTTTCTGGGCTGCTACTTTAAGTTCCGTAATTAAACAAAGTATCTTCCTTAAAGTATTGTCTTTAAGAAAAAGCTCAGATTTAAGTTGACTGAAGTGCTTAATTTTCTCCTCAGATCTACAGAAACGGAAGAAAACTTTCCATGTAAAAAAATAAGAAACAGCAGTTGAGGAATATCAACAATTAATTGACAGGTTTATAAAACTTTTTACCAGTGGAATTTTAACATAGTTTTGTACTAGCTTTATTACTTATCAGTAATGAAACTCGTTTCCCCCAAATTAAACTATTTATTACTCTCCAAACATACTTTTTGCTCACACTTATTTACTCAAGCTATACCTATATGAGGTGTACTCTCACTGTCCCTAGTAAACTTCTGTCCCTCTTTCATAGTCTAACTCAGAGTGTGTTCACATGCCATTTACCATAATCCATGAACCATATGTAATATTATTTGCTTAATATTTTTTCTTTAAATCTACTCCCTCTTTTTTTTTTTTTTTTTTGCTAAGAGACGCTTATTTCAAAAGAAAATTTTGTATCACGACTTTACAGGGGAAACCAGTGAGTGACTGTAAAAATAGCATGAAAGCAACACAAATTCTGAGCAGATGCTCCATATTTAAAGCCTGAGGCCTGCTGTCCTTAACAGAAAAGCAGATGAGCATGTGCTAGAGAGCTGCCACTACTGGCACCAAGCCAAGAGCTTCTCTCTAATGAGATCACACTAGTTGGAAAAAGGAATCACTTTTCACCATGGAATTCCAAGTTCTTTCATGCCATGTCAGAGTCCACATGAAATCATCTCCCATCACTGACCCACATGTGTTTCACGCTTCAGGAAAAGCTGGCTTAGCTGAAATGAGTAACACCTTCTCTTTAGAGCTTTCCCCAATTCCACCAACAAAGGGGGACCCTCTCTCATAGCACTTTTTTCCACTTCTCATATCACACTAATCCTGTATTACGCCATTGGAGTTATTTCTGTACTTATACTAGACTCTTGGCTGATTTTCAGCAACTTGAAGAAACATTATTGGGTTAAATATTGTTTCCATCTCCACTGTGCTAGTAATAGCATCCTGCACTTAATTGAACACCGTCTCTGTGGCAGGCTCTGGCATGGGTACCTTTCGTGTACTAGCTCATTCAGTCCCAGTACGGGAACTGACCTGGGAATTACTATTGCATTTATAGGATGTAAGAGAGGCTAAGTAACCTGGCCAAGCTCACACAACCAGTGATTCAGAAAAGCAGGGTGCAAAGTAGTGGTAGGAGAGATGTTTCATGTTCTGTGTAGGTTGATGGAAACTTCTTAGAATTTCTGACTTGAAATAAAAATATTTTTACCACCTACTCCACAAACCTTGATGCCAGCCACTTATCCAGTACTACTACGTGGAATCTTGGTTCTTGCCCACTATCTCCCCTTGTACTTAAAAAAATCTAAGATGTTATCCCTTATCCAATCAATGCGCCTCTTTTACTAAAACAAAAATTAAGACTTCCTTTTAAAGGTCTCTTTTCTAATGGAGATATGAGAAGAAAAATAATCATTAAAAATTCAGTGAGAGCAATCATAAAGGCAGAACATGATTATGGGCATGGGGGGTGGGGCAGGATCAGACAGGCTAATGGGAATCCTAGATCTGCCCCTGTTCAGGTGGGTGATAATAACCATGGGCAAGTTACCTAGTCTATCTCTACCTTAATTTCCTCATCTGTAAAATGGGGATGATGATAGCACCTATCCCATTTTAGTTATTACATATGCTTAGCATGCAGTAAATGTTTAATAAATGGAACCTAAATAAAGTAGGAATGAGCTTTGAGGTCCTACTTCCTATACATCCATTTCTATTTACTACCACGTTTCATTTTAAAAATAACTATAAAACCCCTTTTCTCTCTCAGACCTCCAAAAACAGCAGAAATGTAGTTTTCACAAACAAATGAGCTTAGAAAAGCAAAAGCTCAGAAAAAATACAATATCAGCAGAATTATTTTGAAATTGGTTTTCCAATTTTTCCTAGTAGGAGTCAGCAATTTGCTAGGATCCTTAGAAACTGTTTTTATCCTTTGGCACCTATGATAATAGATTGTAATACCAAACTTTTTTTCAAAAAGGCCAAAATGAATTTCATAAGAAAAAGCATAGTAATATCTTCATACTAAAAATCAATTTATATATAAGTTGAGGTTTTATATACATCATAAATTCAAATTAGATTCAGAAGTCTATATTTCTACAGAAAAAATATGTATAGTCACAGTTTCTTTGCACATTCAGAGAATATTTGCTTTTACACAGATGATGAACTTCCTGTCACTAATTTAAATAAGAAAAAGTCTAGTGCCAGAAGATTCCATTTTTCAATTGAGGAATAAAGGGAAATTTTATATTCATGTTAACAGATATTCTATATTCATCAGCTAGAAAACATAAATTTAGCCAAATGTAGCAAGAAGGATTCTTGACCTAATGATAAGCTCTGTTTTTCCTGTACTTTTTTCATTTTTCCATACATTTAATATAAATAACTAATTATTTGTATGCCTTACAGCTGGAAAAGGGCTTTTCGTACATTATCTCAGAAGCACTGTGTATATGCTCACAACAGTCAGGTTACAAAACTCACATTTGTGAGAGTTCTAATTTGAAGACCCAAATAATATTTACTCCTTTTAAACTGAAGGTGCCTGGCAGGCAAAGACCATTTATTGATATCTTATGCATATACTGCATCTGTCAGAGTGCATTTTAAATATGTGCCTTCAAGAATTAACTTTGCAAGAAATATGCTCCTTGTGAGTCAAGATAGTGGCAGAACTCTTCTTCTTGCTTTCAGGGATAAGTTTCAAGCTACACAGATACAAAGTTAGAGCTCATTTTATTATACAATTAGCTTTAAAAATAACTTTAAATAAACACCAGAATTAAAACCGATACTTTTTAAAAGTAATATATGAAAACATAGATGTTCTAAGCTATCCGTATTAACATCTTTTTACAAAGAAATCACAAGCATTATATTATTTAACCCCTATATACCTAAGAACATATCTCAAAACAAACATTTCCTTACAAAATCATCATTATCACATCCAACAAAATTACTAGTATTTCTTTGGTACTGTCTAATACCCAGTCTATATTCAAATGTCCTCTATTGCCTTAAAAATGTTCTTTTATATTTGATTTGTTAAAATAAAAATTTATAAAGATACTTGTTGTATTTGCTTATATTTCTTAAGCCTTTTAAAAACTTTTGCTATGAAAATTTTGAACATACTCAGAAAAGAAGAAAATTGTGTAAGAAACCCCACTACCCAATCACCTGGCTTCAATGATTTTCAATATTTTGCTAACTTTGTTTTATCTATTCCCTTACACACATACCCCTACCTTTTTTAAAATCAAAATAAAATATATACAACATAAAATTTACCATTATAATCATTTTTAGGTGTACAGTTCAGTGGCATTAAGAGCATTAACAATTGTGTAACCATCACTACTATTGACAGAACTTTTTCATTTCCTAAACAGATACTCTGTACCTATTAAACAATGACTCCCATTCCCCTCTCCCTCAGCCCTGGTAACCTCTATTCTACTTTTTGTTTCCTATTTTGTTTGCCTATTCTAGGTGCCTCATATTAGTGGAATCATACAACATTTGTCCTTTTATGTCTGGCTTATTTCACTTACCATAATTTCTTCAAGGTTCATCCATGTTGTTACATGTGTCAGAATTGCATTCCTTTTTAAGGCTGACATACCTACACTTTAAAGTCAGATTCAGGCTTAATTGTATTAACAAAGATACTTCATAAGTGGGGCTGTGTGTTTCATAGTGCATCAAATAATAGGGCAAAAAAATATGGTTGTCCCACTTGAGTGATGTTAAAACTAATCGATGGGTTTAGTCATTTACAAAATAATCCCTCCTTTTGAAATTCCACTTCACTTTTCTGTTAAATGGTGTCATCCATTGAGGATTGTTGCATGAATCTATTATTTCATTCGGAGTTGCAAAAACAGTAATTTTTGAATTCCATTAAACCTGCCACATTTATTAGCTAGAATTCTGTAAAATGGAATTTTCCCTTATCAACTTGGGTCATAGTTTACGCAGGAAAGGCAGGATAAATGCTTAATTCTTACCATTCGTTTGCTGATTTGCAGAGTACAGAATTGGTGCCCTATTTACTTCATTAGAGTTCAGTGTGTTTTTATTTCTGTATGGGGGTGGGAGGAGGACTTTCTATCAATGATGCATCATTATATACTTATGAATTTTTATATATTCATTGTTTCAACAATATCATGGGGTTTTTTTTTGTATTTTTGTTTTTTTCCTGATGCTCAAATTGTCATATCTTTGGCTATTAGGAGCCTCGTATGTGGAATCCTGTGTTCTTTAGTTAGGGCCCTGTTACTCTGCATTCTGGCACAAGCTGTTTCAGATGCATTTTGTGTATTTCCTTCTCCAGACCTAGAACCTAGGAACTTTACTTTCTTTTAGTGAGGACTGAATATGCTTCTTTTAAAATTAACTTACTCTTACCTCATTTACATGACCCCCAATATACATCACTATTGTAAATCTTTCAAAACTTGGTCATGACTTACTACTTATCATTAAAATGTTGATGCCATCAATTCACTGAGTGTTTTCTATGTGTGAAGCACTGTTTTAAGTATGAAAATATAAAAATTAATAAGACATACTCTTTAGCTTCTAGGGGCTTACAATCTACTGGAAGAGATAGTTGCATCACAAGTAACTAATGTAAGGCTGACGGTGACAAAAATATGATAAAAATATGAAATCTGAACAAAATCTAAACTCCTTAGCCTCAAATATAAGGCCCTTTGTGACCTAGTTCTAGCCTCTGTCATACCCCATTCACTCATTCATATTCATTTCATAAAGGCTTCTTGGCAGCCTACTCTGTACCAGTGACCAAGGCACAGTCCCTGCCCTTTAGGAGAACACTGCATAATAGGGCAGCATATACTCAGACAGGCAGTCACACTACAGAATAGTAAGTGCTATAAGATGTACAAGCACAGGATATTATGGAAGAGCCCCTCTTAAATTAGTTATGAGAAATTTTTTTTTTTAAAGGACAGGTAAGCTAATATTTGATGAGTTGAAATTATTCATGAAGGGAAAGAAAAGTAGATAGTAGAGTTCTAGAATAGGGGCTATCATGTCAAGGCCCAGAGAGGAAATAAACAGGGAGCTTTCTGAGGACTATGAGTTCATCTGGGTCAGGCTTAAGGCAGGAGTCGGAAGAACACAATAGTTGAAGATGGAAAAAATGAAGACAGACATGAGGAAGATCTGTGTAAGCTGTTACAAAATTTAGAACCTTCTCCTAAGGGCAATCAATGGGGAGCCATTCAAAGGCTTTAAGGGAGGAGTTACATGATCAAATTTGTGCTTCGGAAAGAGTCCTCTGTTGTAATGGGGTATGGTATAGACAAGGGCCAAGAGTGAAAGCAGAGGCCAGCTAGAAAAATACTGTAGCAGCCCAGAACAGAGATGATCAGCCTGAGCATGCAGCTGTAGAAAGTCATAGTTGTTATCCAGATATACTAAAGAAATAAAATAAATCATGCAATTCGCTGATGTTGCAGGATGGTGAAGGGGAGAAAGAAGGCGAAGGTGACATCCAGGACTCTGGCTTAGGTGATCTGGGGATAATAACATCATGCCCTATGTTAGGAAACACAAGAGGAAGGTCAGGTCCCAGAAGGAAGATGCTGGGTTCTGTTTTGAATATGCTGACTTTAAGGTTCCTGTGAGACCTATAGGAGGTGATATCCAGTAGGTAATTGTGTTTGCAGACCTAAAATTCAGGGCAGAGAGTTGAGGCAGAGGTATAAATATAATGGCAGCAACACATAGCGTTAGGAGAGGCATAGAGGAGAAAACAGTCCCCTGTGGAACTCTGTCTTATCATCACTCCTTACCTGTATGGCTTCTGACCTCCAGTAGCAGGACTGAGCTCACTAACATACAGGGGATCTTGTAAGAGAGTAGCTTTCTGAAAGAGGAAAAAAGTGGGACTACTTAGAATTTTTGTTTATTGAAAATTAGTTCTCCCTACTTTTAGTCAATATATACCTATTTAATCCCTTCTATAGTATATGATTTGTTTATATAACTCATTCCAATGTTTGATAATACCACAGGGAATTTTTCCTTATATAGTTTTTTTAAAGTTTTAAACATGTTTGCTCATTGTAAAATAAAATTATCAAAATCAAACAGTACAGAAATGCATAAAGTTCCTTGTCTCTCCCTACCCCTTCCATCCCACTATTCAAAGTATCTTACATCATCAGTTTGGTTTATATATCCTTTTAGGCATATAAAAACATACTAATCATAACATATACATTAAGAACATTTATGTATTAGATGATATATTTTTTAATAGATAATATTAATTAAATTATAGCACATATATTAATCTGGAGCTTTTTTTCCTACTTAATACATGGTAGACAGTTTTTCATGTCTGTGTGCATAGATTTACTTCAATCTTTTTAATGATTGCCCCGTATTCTATAGCATAGATATACAATAATTTAACTATTCCCTCATTAAAGAGATTATTTTTTTCCTCAAATCTTTAGTGTTGCCGTTTTCCAGTCACTCTGAGTCCTCAAAACAAATGGCCATATAGTATTCAGCAAGTTCTTTAAATAATATTTTATTTATGTTGAAGCTTAATAGACAGATCAGAAGGAATTTCTGAAATGTTGCTGATTTATAACTCCAAACAAGCTTACCCCTACCTTATTCTTAATAACGGAGTAGGGTGGTGGGTGAGTGGGTAGGGGGAGGTAAAGTATGTGCTTTTTCTTACTACTTTGTCATTGCTCTTCAGTTAAAAAAAAAAAAAAAAAAAGGCTGCCTTTTTTTCCTCTCCAAATGTTTATGTTTGCCTTAAATCTAGAATTTTAATATGGGGATATCTCTTAGTTCTTTAGCTTTCTATTAGCTATCTTCACAAAAAGGACAAAGAACTGCCCCATTTCATCTCTGTAGAATTTGAGATACTAAACAACTCATATGTAATCACTTTTGGTCATAGTTACAAATAAAATGGGTTACTGAAGGAGACGCAACTCTGGAAACCCTTAAAATCCAAATGAGTATTAATTTCTAATTGGATAGTTTAGGTTAATTTTAACTAAAAATATAGAGTTAAGATGTCCAATTCCTTTCTCCAGGAGCACTTCCCTGCTTCAATATGAAAGATCCTTCTAGATCTCAAGGTACAAGAGGTCAGTTAACCAAGATAAATCTGACTGATTTAAGAGATGATTTTTCTTTCAATTTCCTAAAACTTATGAAGACATCACTAAGACTAACCAAAGGAAACCAAGCTGATGAAAGAATTCAACAGTGTAACAAGAAGTCAAAACTTTTAAATGTTTACATTGAATTAATATCTTATTCTTATAAAAATGAATGCTAATCTGATTTGACATATATATATGAAATATTTGCTTACTCATTTTCCATCTTTCAAGGGATAGAACATTATTTTTAATTATAATATCTATCAACTCATAAAGATAACCCCCCTTCACCTGCATTTGTTTCAGTAATCATAGAAAGAAATCAGATTATTTGGGTGAAAATCCCAGCTCTACTAGACTAGTTGTGCAAACTTGTATATATCATTTAATTTCTCGATGCCTTAATTTCCTCATCTATAAAATAAGAATACCAACCCTACCTCATAGGGTTGTTCTGCATATTAAACAAGTTAATACACAGAAAGCATCAGAACAGTTCCTACTGGCTAATAACAATCCATATTAGTTAATGTTATTTTTATTTTCAGAACTGTGAGTTGGCCTATCTGACTTGCCCCAGCCATGCCTCTGCTTCAAAATTAAAAAGTAGTATTTAAAACTAAGAATTAGTCAATTCAGAGAAGTACAAACAATTATTCTGAAATATTTAGGTGGATTTTCTAAAGCCAATTAAGTTTTGTTTTTTCTAGAACATATGAACATATGAGGCCTTCTTTTAATAGACCAGGTTTTTCCCTCTATTTACATTCTTAATTTCTAAGTCTGATTCATTTACATTCTTAATTTTGAGAAAGCTGTTTAAAATTTTAGAGGAAAATAAAAATATTTAACATTCAATTTAAACATTAAACATTCTAACTGTGCTATGAGAAAAAAGATTAGCTTGCAATCTTTCACAGTTTTTAGTCATATATAAAATCTCCTGCTTCCAAGCTGCTTTTGAGTGAAAAGAGCCTTTCATATTTCTCAATATTTTTATGTTAAAAGATCAATAACAAAAATTATATATCATTGAAGATAACTGAAAAGGATCATATTACTCTTTGAATAAATTACTTATTTTTAAACCGATCCTAGTGTAATAAAAAGATCCTTAAATGGGAGTTCTGACTCTGCCCCTAAACTTACTATGCAATCTTGAGTAAGTCACTTAAAATGGTTGTGTTTCAGTTTCCTCATTTATAAAATAAGGGTCTTAGACGAGATGATTTCTATAAGATTATCTGATCCTATGGCAATGACTCCCGTCAACCTACTTTCAATTGTGCAGTTAAGAAACACAAACATACTGACAGTCTTGAACTTTATCTGAGCTCTGTGCTCTCTGAAAGCAGAAATGACTGAAATCACTCAAGCGAACTGCAAAAGACCACCCTGCTCACAAGAACCCCAAGCTAAGACCTGTCTCCATCCTTCCTCATGATTCTCATGAGACTCACTGATACTCCTTTGTTTGCCTGCCTCTGTAAAACCCAGATCTATTTCTTTTTCTTTACGACACTCCTCATTAATGAGCATTTTCCCTATTGGAATAGCCTGAAAAAAATCATTTTCTTAATTGTCCAGCATGTTTTTGTCTTCTAAAATATTATTAAATTCAAGGCTAAATTTCCAAAATAGGGAGGTAAAACAGGGAAGGCTACCCTAAAATCAAGGTTAACTCAAATCAAGGTTAACTTATGAGGATACTTACTATAACATAATTGTTCCATGAACTTTTTAAGTGCAGAAATATGGATGAGGTTGTAGAAATAATATACAAATGAAGTTCTGACTCCTTTTTATCTAGGTTTAGATTGCTCTGTAAAGGGGAGATCAGGGAGGAATTTCCTAAGTAAAACTCATTTATGTTCTCATTGCACTTGAAAGGGATTTCACTTAGAGAGCCTTTGTGATCTGGAAGTCCCTCAGGTTCTGTGTTTGTTGTGCAAGATGGCATGCTGACAGCCTGGCCAGTGGTTGATGTGGACTGACAGCTCCTCCTGGAGGGCGTAGGTAAGGGTCGAAGGAACAGCTTCTTGAGGTCTGAAGGACAGAAAGTTGCATCCTTGTATGGTGTGTTGCTCTCTTGGTGGTACCTGTCAGGTAAAATTTAGCATTAAAATGATATTCAGAATTTAATAGTAAGGAACAAAGAGAAACCAGTGGCCCAATGGCAGCAGTTTAAGATTCTGAAAGTAATCGGTGGTGGTGGGGGGGGTCATTTCATAAATTATATAAATATCTAACCACTATGCTGTACACCTGAAACTAATATAAAATAAGATTGAATGTCAACTCTAATTGAAACAAACAAACAAACAAAAAAAAAAGGTTTTTAAAAAACAAAAAAGACTCTGAATATAAATGTTTTCACATAAAAGGGATGCTTATAAAGAGAAGGGAGTGATTTAATCTCACTTTTGTACCCACTGATCTAGGGGAGATTTGGCACAATTCTTCAGTATATTTTTCTGCTTTCAGAAATAAAATTGCATTTAAAGAAGCACTTTTTATGTCTATAGCATTGTGCCTGTCTTTCTCAGAACCCCAATATTTCCATTGAAAGGACTTTTCATTCTTGTTTGAAGCCTGATTGTTCTTTCATTGTGCATTTTTACTATATCCTATAAAGAAAAAACAATTCATATGGAGATATGAAGGGAGAATTTTTTAAATGGTGTTTTGATTCATCTCTTGCTAATACTCTTCTGATTTTTCCAATAGCATCCCAATAGAGTCAGCACTTTTTTCAGAATCAATCCTGTGTCCTTTACCTCCCTGTTTTCTCCAGCTCACTATGACTCATTTCTACTTTGCCACACAAGGGAGCAAGTTGTAGAGGCCAGGGAAGTTGCGGAATGTGACTGTGCCACTCAAGTGGTTATGTGACTTTGGTTGACCTGAGACTCAATTTTTTAACTTTGAAATAGGAACAATAATAGCACCAAGCTCATAGAGTATCTGTGAGGATTAAATAAGAAAATTCACGCAACGTGTTTAGAACACCGGAAACACTCAATAGGTGCTAACTATTAATATTATCCTGTATTCCCTTAAATTATTATCATTTATTATTAAAGTGCCTTTATCTGCCTTACAAGATTGGAACTGCTATGAAAGTAGAAAGCCAAGTAGAAAGCCACTTTGTTTTTATTAATTCCTAAATTAATTTTAAACAGGTATAAAATTCATTTGTTATCTTTCCATTGCTGTGAACTGTGCTGAGTTCCAACCCTCATCTCCCTTCCACACTGACTTTGCATGTATATGCATGCATGCACGCGCACACACACACACACACAAGTGGTCACCCCAGTTTGCTCATCCAAGTTACATTCCCTTTAACAGCCAAAGTTATCTTACATTACCCAATTTCTTAATAGAATTCTACTAATATATGACAGTGTTATCAAAGTGTCTAAGAATATAAGATGCTCACACTAGGATTTTCAGGTAAATGAATATGTCTAGCCCTGAAATGGATGATACATACTCCAATCCTCTTTAAAGTGGCAGCTTTTCTTTATTCTTGCAGATAATATTTTCTAAATTTTTCTATATGGAAATCGAAGAGTGTTAAATAACTAGGATGTAGATTATGTTAGATAATGTTATGAAATTAGGTTTATTTTATGCACAACAATATGTTTCATGTGAAAGTTCAGCAAAATGATTTCAGGTAGTTAGAGAAAGTCTCACTTAAATCAACTTATTTACTCGGTTGTATGAAAAATCTGTTATTTTAGAGAGTTTAAAAGGGTTTCTGAAAAGGATTACCTTTTTGGCAGCATATGTGAAAATGCCATGGTCATTATAGCTACACCAGTTAAGCAAGCCAACTCATAAAACTAAACTGTAGCCTTCATTTGAGATTCAATAATACCCTCCACTACTAGTCTGATTAAAGAGTAGTTGATTACTAAGCAAGAGTTCTAGAACCTTGAATTTGCACATATCAACTTCACATTCTATAAAACTAAGTTGCTAAAAGTCAAATGTTTTCCTAATAAGCTGTTTATGTATCTATAGGGAGAAACCAACCACAAAGGCGAAAGGGATGAGAGAAGTAGGAAAAAGAACTCTAAAACCCAAAGTATGCACAAATAATTTTTCTCCTTTTTCCCTCTGCATCAAAGACAGATAAACTCATTGAGGCTGGAAAAATCACAGTCCAAAAAGTCCAAATAACAACAGGCAGAATTGCACAGCTTCAGAAAAACCTGTTAGGTTCAAATTCAACCAAGAGTAAAAAGTACATCTATGCTAGCATATTGAATCTATCAAGAAAATTAGAAAAAATGATTTAAGAAACTCTTAAAAAGGATGAGAAGGAAGTTTAATATGAAAATGAAGAGTTTAGTTTTCATGAAGAACTAAAAACTTATCAGGTTGAAATGGACAGATTAATATGCTAAAATAGAAGTAACAAGCAGAACAATAAAGAACAATGATTTTTCCATAATAAGTCATACAGACTTAGATCTTAAGATCTAGAATTTGAGCTCCCTTGAATAAAAAATTTTCCATGAAGAAGCTACGAAAGCAGAATTGGTGAAACATAAGCAACATGATATGGAAGAATTCAAAGTGAAAAAATAATTCCCAGATATCTAAACATAACTGAAAGGCTGACAGAGACCAGTCCCAAATTCTTCATGGTCATGTGACCCTGAGTCACATAACATAATATTCAAAATGTCCCAGATGCAATCTAAATTTGCTTGACATTTGAAGGGCCAGGAAGATCTCAATATCTTATGAAGAAAAAGATAATTAATAGATGTCAGTACTGAGATGACAAAGATGGTTGAGATTATCAGACAAAGACTTTAAGGTAACCATTATAACCATGCTCTAATAAATAAGGGCGAGCTTCTCTGAAACAAATGGAAAGATAGAAAGTCTCAGAAGAGAAATAGAAGATATAAAAAGGGACCAAATAGAGATTTTAGGAGGAAAAATACATTACAGTAATGGAAAATTTTTAAGTTCACAAAATGGGCTCAGTGAGCAGAATGGAGATGACAGAGCAAACAGTCATTGAATTTGAAAATAGATGAATAGAAACTATCCAATCTGAGCAACCTAGAGAATAAAGATTGAAGAAAAAAATGAAAAGGATAATAGGAGACTGTGTGACAATATGAAAAAGTCTAATATTCATGTTTCAGAGTCCCAGAAAGATAGGACAGAGTATATAGTGCAAAAAAAAAATTTGAAGGATTTATCTGTGTAACTTGATATCAATGTGTCATAATATTATTTTGGGAAATAAGTGTATTTTATAAAAATTTTCAAAAGTAAAAAAACTACTACAGGTTAAGATAATTTTTTACCCATCTTTTCTCCATATTTTAAGCTATGTGATTGAAGTACCTCTGTTAATAGTTTCCTGGTATGAAGTTGGTTAAAATTTCACCTGTTAATAGATCACTTAGATAATATAACATATGGGTTTTCTACTGGTTTTTCAGAGACTCTAGGTGGAGATTTTGTAACAAGGGCTTGTTACACAGATAAATTGCAATTTATCATTCCTCTTCATTTTAATGATTTGAAGACTGGAGAAAATGTTCAAGATTAAAATTTGATGTTCATCCTATAAAAAAAATATTTGAAGTAATAATGACTGAAAATTCTCCAAATTTGACAAAAGACATAAACTTACAGATTCTAGAAACTCAGTGAATCCCAAACAAGATAAACTCAAAGAATTCCACACCAGACACATCATAATCAAACTGCTGAAAATAATAACAATTAAGAGATACTTATAACTGAATGTAAAAAATACATGTAAAAATACACGTGACTCAGCTAAAGCCTATTTTAGAGGAAAATTTATAGCTCTTTTTGACTCTGGGCCTTGTTTAAATTCTATGGAGAACATTGATTTTTTTTTTTTTTTAATCAGGTAATCTAATCAACTGCTGTATGCATTCTGTTCAGGATTTTTACTTATATTCAGAAGGAGAGGTAGAGTAAAGTGTGCTTACTCCACCTTGACCAGAATCAAAACCTTAATTTTATCACATCAAAATTAAAATTCTATTTGGTAAAAGATACCACAGAGACAAAGATAATAGAGAGCTGACAAAATTGGAGGAGATATTTTAATGTCTAAAATCAGTAAGTGGATTAATATATAAAATGTACAAAGCAATTCTGCTTCTGAATTTATATCCTAGAGAAATTATCACACAGGTCCATAAAGGGAGGAAGGAAAGAAGAAAAGGGAAGAGGAAAGTAAGAATAAAAGGATAGGAGAGAGAGGAGGAAAAGAATGAATATTGATTCTACCCTAATGCTCAATAAATATTTTTTTGTATTTTTATAAATGTATAATTGAGCAGTGAATATTGGTTAATAATGATAAGCTATGAGCAAATTGTATGCAAGAGACTATTTAATGTTTTCAGAGTCAATTTTGAGAACTATCAACAACAGCTTATTATACAAACAGCTGTTGGAGGCCTTGAATCCTTTTTCTTAAGTTTCTAACTTGCGGGTTTGTATACTTACACATATAGTATATTTACATAACACAGGACCCAGTCCTCTCATGGAACTACAATAAACTATTACATAAGAAATTCTTAGAAAATAATTACAAACAGTACTTCATGTCAAGTTATTGCACAACAGCATTAAATATTTACTATACAGTTATTAGTGAGAGTAGAAAAGAGGAAAGTTATTCTGTCCCAGGCTTGATCAAAAAGACTAAGGATGCTGAATAGATTATTGCTCAGTGACTGACTTATTGATAACCAACAGTAACAAAATAGCTAATTTTGTAAGGACTGAGAGCCACACACTTTAAGCACTTTATATGTACATGATTTAGCCCTTACATATAATCCATGTGGGATAGGTACTATTATGAGTCCCACCGCATCCATTAAGAGCAAAGACTGGGAAGATTAAATAACCCAGGGCAGGGTCAGGATTTGCAGTCAGCCAGTGTGGCTACAGAGCCTGCATACTTAACTACTATGCAGAGAGGAATGACACAACTCTTTTTTTCTACTTTCTGCCAAGAAATGCTTCTTCTTAGAGAAAAATATAAGGTTCACCCTCTTGGGTTTTTTTTTTC